CCCGGGGCGCTGGGGAGTTGGGAAAGTGCCGCGGGTGCGGGCTGGCTCCCACGGGTGCGGCCGCCTGCCCCGGGGATGCGGAGTTGAGAAACTACAGCTGCCACCCGCCTCCCCTCCCCATCTCCCCTCTCGTTTCTTTCCCCCTACCCCCGGATTGGGAGGGTTGGTGAGCTCTTGGTTTCCGAAATGGCAAAGCATGAGCAGGCGTGCCCCCACCTCCTGACAGCACCTCGCTGCTGGGAAGTGGTGCGGATGGCTCGCAGGGAGTCACCTTTGTGGCTGATGACATCATGTTTTATTTCTCATGGATGTCGAAAGGGGAGGGGGCCGGCACCCTGTCTTGCTACTTCCGAAAGACATCCATAAAAAAGAGAAGAAACGGCGAGAGGCGGTGGATTGAGACAGCTGGGAGCAAACAGGGTAGGACCAGAGAAAAATTGTATGTATATCTATATTGCTGATGTCTCTTCTTCAATCCCCCGAGCCCTTCTCCCCGTACAGCTGTCCGAGCTGTAAGAGTTGCGGTCCTACCCTGAGCGCTCGTTGCAAAGCGACAGAAATGCGCGTGTCTGCCGTACCGGATGGCAAATCGGGATCCTTCAGGCTGGCAGATCTGGCCTCTTCACATTGGCACCGGGTCCTATATTTAGGAGCAGAATCGCAGAGCAGATGCTTTTCTTAACCGCTTGCGCTGCTCTCGACCCGTTCTGGGTGGGGAAAGGGCAGAAAAGGGGTCGTAGCGACCACCTGAACGGGCCCGAAAGACGCGCGCCGCATTGCAGGTACAACTTGACCGAGGAGTTGCAGTTCTCGTTGGGTCGACTGGCTAGACCGATATTTGAGGAATAATAAAAGCTCTTAATTCCGGCTCTGGATAAAGTTCAAATAAGGCTGCTTCTGTTGTTAAAGGAGCTGTTTGGGATTGGATTATAGACTACGCCTCCGTCAGCATAAATGAGATGGTTCTGCGTTGTTTGGTGGGATCTAAACTCCAGTCTAAATTACTGGTCTGTTCATAGCTCACCTACCAATTAGCATCTGGTGTGTCTCAGCTGGGAAAGCTGGTGTATCTGGGGCAGTCGCTGTCTGTTTAAATTGCTGGGTTTGTTGCCCATCAGTGTATTAACACGCCATAGAGTCCTTGTCCCTTTGGTAGCAATTGTCCCCGAATATTTGAAAAGGCTGCTGTTTTCTTGCCGCAGCTCCCATTGACACTGTCGAGACTTGAAGGCAGATTCAACCCAGTAGTCAAAAAGTAGCAATTCAGCTGCTACTTCCTTGAAATCAAGAGTCGCCTCTTCCTGAATGCGTGCAGGATCTCCAATTAAAGGTGCAATTAATTTGCGAGTTGTTCTCATCAAGCGGTGGGAAACACTTTAAAAGAAACACGCTCGCGCGTTCTCTGCATCGATTTCTTCAGGCAAAGTACGACCGGGATTCATCTGGCGTGGTCATAGCGACTGGTGCGAAGG